ATCTATTGAAAATTTGGAGTTGTTTCTGTACAATATCTTGCTCCTTAGATCATTATCTATATAGTTATGCAAGATTCAAAGATTTCTGGGTTTGTGTTCTTCATGGTGAACTCCAGATCTGAGTAGTCTTTCTAGGGTTTATAGGATGGGTTAGGTGATGCGGAATCTTAGTTTCTAGGGTTGCTTAAGTATAGATTTAGGTAGATACCTTCTGGATTAGGAGATCTTAATGCTATCTTAGCATTAACCATGTGGGATTAGATATTAAACATTCCAGCACTCAAAAAGTGTTCAAATGGAATGTCTGATCAACTAATGCCAGAGATCAATTTACTTACCCAAGAGATTGGTTGTTGATGTAGCGATTTTTACCCGATCAATTAAATTATCGAACCTCAAGAAGCAATTAATTAACACACCAAGAATACACAAATTTGCTTAATCTAAACTTAATAAGAGATGAGTTTTGATTTCTAAATGTAACTAACAATGCAATTTAAATCAAGCAATGCAAAACAAGATGAAAGAAAGCAATAATCAAAAGACTAACAAGATTCGAATTGAAACAAAGCCGGAAAAGATAATTACTAAGCAATAATTAAAGACGAATCCTCGGGTTAAGGTAATTGACTAGAAGCGATAAGGAAGCGGATTATGGAGCTAACAACTTCAAACAAGCATTAATCCTTAGGCCATAGACACTAAACTAGACTAATTCATTTCCATGACAATAATCACTTTACTAATCAAATAATCATCAACTTCTTCCAAAGGCAATTAAATGATCAACTAGCATTAATAACAAGTCTATCTAGCCACTAAACATCCTAATCAACATTTTCAAATGGCAAGGAGTGTAAAGTACTTAAAAGTTTTGGTTCGGGAATTTCATCGAACACCTTCCGGGCGTGAAATTCCTAAGCTCTAAATCAATATTAACAAAGTTGATTTAGCCTTATTAGCAACCAATAAGCAAGGATCTTGGACAATCTAATCCTAAACTGCATAACCCAACTCCAAAATCCTCCTAATCTACCTAACCCAAAGATTCAAAATGACTACTCACTCATGGTCATGAAACCACAAAGTAATGTGTTTGATCTTTGTGAAATCATGATTATAGATTGTAGATTAAGATAAGGAAGAAATACTTATATTAAAACTTCAAGTTTCAAATACAAAATCCAAGAAAAAACCTTAAAACATAGCATCAGATCCATAATTTTAGGCTTTGAAACATTTATATAGTATAAGAAATCGATACGGGTCAACCCGAGATGAACCGGGTCAAACCCAAACTCTTTATATCAACCGGTCGATTGTATGGTCGATTGAAAACTTGTTTTGGCGTCTGTTTCACTCCAACCGACCTATCAACCGACCTGTTAATCGATTGGAATTCTCGATGGCTTCTATCTTCGTTCTATATGGATATACTCTCACTAAATCAGTCATAACTCATGAACCATAACTCTGATTGGCCTGAAACAACCACCGTTGGAAAGATAATTCGATATTTCTATCTCTTTTGTTCAGAGTTTCAAAGCTAAATCACAAGTTCAAGCCTTCATCTGAGTCGGTCTTTGAGAGACTTCGGACTGGATCTACATCATCAATCCTCCACTTTGCATTCAAACATGTGTCTTTATTATCTTAACCTAAAATAGCTTAAAAGACACCCAAAACACACTAAAACACACTCAAAGACACTATATGACTTCTAAAAAGCAAGAAGACTCATTTAGACACTAAATGCAACAAAACACAATGAAAATACAATTGAAACATGATAAAAATGATAATAAAACCCTTAATAGAGCTGTAAATATGATGTGTATCAGTTGTTAAGGAGTAGATTGACATTAATGAGCTTGTTCTTTATGCCTATTTATAGTATGTTTCATCAATGAAAGTTGAGATTAGAAAGTGCTATAGATCTGATAATCTTTGCCAAGAGATTGGACTGATTAGGTTAAGTGGTTCATTGTCTAGCATTAGATCTATCTGAGCATGTTAAGCATCCAAAAGATACTAAGAGGATTCATCACCCCATTACCCCATTCTTTATGCCTATTTATAGTATGTTTCATCAATGAAAGTTGAGATTAGGAAGTGCTATAGATCTGATAATCTTTGCCAAGAGATTGGACTGATTAGGTTAAGTGGTTCATTGTCTATGATTAGATCTATCTGAGCATGTTAAGCATCCCAAAGATACTAAGAGGATTCATCACCCCATTAGCCCATCCTTATGACCATTTGTTTATCTGATTGATTATCTGCTTTTATTTACTGCTTTCAATTCTGCTTCTTTAGTTTACTTTTATGCTTTAGAGTTTATTTAACTAACCCCTGAACTACTTGGCTTGACTTGATTAGATCTGTTATATCTTCATTGTTTGCAATTCATTCATCTGGATCGATACCTCTTATGCTACATCGCTAAGGGGAATTAAACTCCAAGGGTATAAAAATACCTGTTTCAATTTGGCGCCGCTGCCATTTGGATGTTATTTGTTCCATTTAGGATCCCAGTTCTATCTAGATAGTGTTCTTTTACTTTCAATAATATTTGATTAATTATTTCTACCTTTGCTACTTGTCTGTCTTGCATTTCAGGTACACTCGACCGAGCTACACTCTGCACTCGATAAGTTTTTGATGAACCAGCAGAAGAATGTACACTTTGTTCAAGAGGAGGAGACCTTCCAACCTAATGATGGTGATTGTGCTAATATTGAGAAGGTGAGCTATATCCAGAATCAAGGAGGTTACCAAAAGGGTTACAACAACTAAAAACCCAACCCGAATCTTTCTTATAGAAGCACCAACGTCGCGAACCCCCAGGATCAAGTCTATCCGCCTCAACAACAACAGTTCCAGAACAAGCCATATGTTGGCTTTAATAAAAAACAAGCTTTTCAACGTCAACAACAGTCCCAAGGTTCTTATCAACAGCCTATATCACACCCTCCAGGATTCCAACAGCACCCTACTAATGTACACCCAGAACAAGATATTCAAACAACACTTCATCAGCTTCTCCAAGCACAGAACAATAGCGCCCGGAACAAGCCATGCAGTTAGCCGAGCTTCGCAACGAGATGCGTGAGTCTCTTTACAGGAGCTCCACCAAAAGTTCGATTCTTTAAACAAAAGGGTAGTTATCTTAGAAGGCAACCAACCCTCCACATCTTCTGGCCAACTCCCAGGAAAGTCTATCATGAACCCTAAAGAATTTGCTACTGCTCATGCGATTACTCTGGGAAAACCATTCCCAATTATCACTGAAGACAATGAGGTTCAAGAGGGGGAGGATTCAGCCCAAATGTGTACCCTACACGGTGAACCCGATCGAGTCTACAACAGGCACGACCGTGCCAATGGTGAACCCGATCAAGTCTACCAAAGACTCGACCAATCCGATCAAAGGTACCATGAACCCGATCGAGCCCGATATCGTGTACGCTGCTTGTCTGACAGGTTGTGTGAATTAAGTTCCGACGAGCCTATTCGCCCGATCAGAGCTACCAGCCCCAAGCCTTCAAATCGAAGACCACTACTCTACCTTGAAGAATCTAAGGCAGAAATCAAGGAAGAATATAACCACATTCTTGATTCACTATCAGGGAACGATCAGCTGAAGGCTTTGGTGGATGTTTTCGCCAACATTCCCTCCTACAGGGAGATTCTCAAAGAAGTCCTATTGGAAAGGATGCAGCAAAGGAAGAGTTGGATTCCACCCTCTCAAGATTCTGATTTCTCCAGGAAGATGGGGGATCCTGGAGCTTTCACACTCCCCTGCTCAATCCGATCAATGATCTTCAACGCGTGTTTATGCGACACAGGCGCTTCGATTAGCTTGATGCCCCTCTCAATAGCTCAGCGGATGGGCTATACAACCTTTACACCATGCAGCCTGACGATTGTGATGGCGGACAGAAGCTTTAGACAACCCGTAGGGGTATTGGAGGATCTCCTTGTTGAAACTGGAGGAGTAAAGATTCCCACTGATTTTCTGATTCTCGAGATGGAAAGGGAACCTTAGTATCAACTAATTCTAGGAAGACCATTTCTAGCCTCAGCAGGTGCAGTTATTGATATGAGAATGGGGGTCATGACTCTTGATCTTGTTAGAGGGACGAGGAAGATCAATATGGCGTATCCGCACCAAAGTACAACGTTCAGAATAGAAGAAACCTCGACCTCTTCTCCAACTTGTGTTGAGCTCCAGGAGATCATGACTCTCAAGAAAGACTTAAGGCGGCTAGCAACCACCATTCAAGGATTAACCGAGGAAATTGTGATGTTGAAGAAGAAGAACGACATCTTGACTTCTACGAAAGCAAAGAAGGTATTTACTTTCAAGAAGAGACATGCTGCAAGGAAGAAGTATCAGATACATTGGTCATTGGCATTGGAGAGAATGGTTGAACCTCTCCATTTTTCAAACACTTCGTGAGGATTATACCAAGTCAAGCTTAGCGACTATAAACAAGCTCACTTGGGAGGAAGTACCAAAGGTATCCCTGTACATATTTCTTTAAGTTTTTAAAATTTGATAATCTTTTTAGTTTGATGTGTTTTCAGGTTTGAATGTGAGTGAAGAAAGGTGTTATTGGGCCAAGATAAGGGAAGAAGGGAGAAAGAGTAAATTTGATCCTTAAGCCCAATTTCACAAGCCCATTCGGTCGAGTCAACACCCACACAAACGGGTCAACGCGATTCGATCGAGTCAATCTCGACCGTCCGATCGAGTCAATCTGAGCCACCCGATCGGGTTCATCTCAGCCGTCCGATCGGGTCAAAGGTAACGGTCGGGTCAATGGTCAGCTCGATTTGAAATTCAAATTTTGAACCAAGCCCGACCAAAAACGCTCCTCTTTCAGATTTTTGTCCCCTCTCACCCTCTTTATAACATCTAAACTCAACCAAAACCTCTCCACTCTCTCATTTTGCTAAAAATTCATATATCTCTCTAGAATTCTCTCTTCATTCTCTCTAGATTCTTGGTTGATAGAATTTCTGGGTTTGATTTCATTTGCCTCTTGTTCCTCTCATTCCCTGGTTTGTTGATAAACTTGCTTTCGATTCTTCACATTTTTTGGGTTTGTTTGTATAATTGAACCTTGTGTTCTTATTTTTTGGGTTTATTTTCAAGATTGTTCTTAGTGTTCTTATTTTCCGGGTTACTAACCTATTAAATTTGAGTTTTGAGTTTCTCATTCCCAGAAAACAAGAATGTCTTCAAGGATTCCTCAACCCAGAAGGAAGAGCCTCTCAAGATCACAACGAGAAGCTCATCACAGCCAATCTGCCAAAGAAATTGCAAGAAATTTCTTGACAATCCAAGCCACTGGAACCGGACTCGATCGGGTCAGAAGCGGAAGAAGAGAAGCCCGAGCACAAACCCGATCACCCGATCGGGCCAGTCGTGTGTAGAAAGACTTGTTGATTAGCCCATCCTTAAGACCATTGTTTATCTGATTGTTTACCTGATTTCATTTCTGCTTTCAATATTGCTTCTGTAGTTCTTGCATTCTTAGTTTCATTTCAGTAGTTCTCTTTGATCATTTAGTTTATCTTCAGTACTGTTCTTAGATTTTTAATTTATCATTTTGTAGTTTACTTTTCTGCATTAGAGTTCTTTAAACCAAAATTATAACTGCTTGGCTTGACTTGATTAGTTCTGCTATATGTTGATTGTTTACAATACATCCATTTAGATCGATAACCTCTTATGCTACATCTCATTGGGGAATTGAACTCCAAGAGCAAATAAAACGCTTGTTTCTATTTGGCGTCGCTGCCGGATGTTATTTGTTCCATTTAAGATCCCATTTCTATCTAGATCAAGTTCTTTTTATTTCGTTTCTATTCGATCACTGATTTCTACCTTTGCTACTTGTCTGTTTTGCATTTCAGGTGCACTCGACCGAGCCTCCTGCAGTTCCGATCGAGCCTGACCACGTGTTTCTGATCGAGCAATCTTGCACGCACACCAGATCCAAGGGCAACCAGCACCTACTCAATTACCTCAACAACATTGACCGCTTGCCTAGACAACTCTGAAAGCAACGCGTTAAAACATCAGACATCAACACTCAGCAAGTGGAAATGGACCCTCCACCACGGGCACCAACACTAAACGGAGCCGGTGATGCCCCACGAAACCACACAACTCGACAAGGGATAGTCCCTCAAGCAGTCCAGAAAACCAACTTCGAGATAAAGAGTAGCCTCATTTCAATGATACAGGGAAATAAATTACATGGATTATCAATGGAAGACCCTCTCGATCACCTCGATGAGTTCGATCGAATGTGTGGCTTAACAAAAATATACGGTGTGAGCGAAGACGGGTTCAAGCTCCGATTGTTCCCTTTCTCCCTTGGCGATAAAGCTCATTAATGGGAGAAGTAATTGCCCGCTGGATCAAACACAACTTGTGAGGAGTGCAAGAAAGCATTCTTGTCCAAGTTCTTCTCCAATGCACGAACCGCACGAACCGCACGATTGAGGAACAACATCTCTAGCTTTGCTCAGCGCAACAACGAAACCTTCTATGAAGCATGTGAGAGATTCAAAAGCTATTAGTCATAATGTCCTCACAACGGTTTCAGCAACGAGTCGCTGCTTAGTACTCTCTACCGAGGAATACTACCCAAGTTTCGCCTATTTCTCGATACGGCCAGCAATGGAAATTTTCTAAACAAGGATGTTGAAGCTGGCTGGGAACTCGTGGAGATTCTAGCTCAGTCCGATGGAACGTACAATGAGGACTATGAGAGAACCGTTCGGGGAAACACAGAACAAGAGGACAAGTATAAGAAGGATATGAAGGCACTAAACGACAAGCTCGATAAATTTATGATGAACCAGCAGAAGAGTGATAACTTTGTTCAAGAGGAGGAGACCTTTATCCATCATGATGGTGATTGCGAAAATAATGAGGAGGTAAGCTATATCCAGAATCAAGGAGGTTACCAAAAGGGTTACAACAACTATAAACCCTACCCGAATCTTTCTTATAGAAGCACCAACGTTGCAAACCCTCAAGATCAAGTCCATCCACCTCAACAACAACAATTCCAGAACAAGCCATTTGTTGGCTTTAATCAAAAACAAGGGAATGTAAATGATAATTGACCTTTCGTAAGAAGCTTTTGAGCATGCAAATCTTCCAGATTCATTTAACGATATCAAAAATATTATCTGTAAGTTAGGAATGAACTGTGAGTCTATTTACGTATGGGAGATTCCACTTATATTTACTTCAATTCACTTAAAGCAAAATGTCTATTGATAGCGACGGAAAGATGTTGTAATAGGTAGATTATAGCATTTTCAGTAATGTTTTGATAGGTGTTATACATAGAATAGTGTTATATTCATGTGCTACAATAGGTGGGATACAACAGCGAAATTTTAGTGCGAATATATAATTTTTTTATTTTGTTTTAGAAATTTATAGAAATTCATTTTATTTGCTATAGTTGGTCAAACAACAATAAAATTTTGCAACGCTATATTAAATTTGTTGATGGTTAAATTTCAAAGCTATTGTTTTAGATCATTACGTATTTTGTTTGCTATGATAAATATTTTCATAATGCTATCTATTGTTATATTTTAAACATGTTTTCAATAATAAAAATACATTTACATTTCAAAAGCAACATATTTATTCAACTTAAGAAGCTTCAAATATAGATAATACAAGTCTCAATCTAAAAGACATTAAGTATACTTGATAAAAGTCTTAATATAAAATAGATTAGTTAGTTAAGAGTCTAGGCAAATTATTCAAACTCGCTAACCTTGACCAATGTGTCTTCATTCCCTATAATATTAAAAATTACCTACATATATTTGGAAACCACTACGAGATGTAAATCAAATCACAAACAACACAATGATTACACCACTTACCAATTTCTTTTGGTATATAAGGCTGCCAATTTTATTCATTTGCTAAGCAATAGATGAACCAAGTGCATCTTTTAGATACTCGATTTCATCTTATGGCCTCCACACTGCTGCATCATCTACCATCACTATGTCCACCCAAACTCTAACTGCATTAGACCCTAAGCGAGTGAAATGGACCATTTGCTCTGGGTTTAGTGAATGCTGACGCCCTTTAAAAACTACCTGCTTCTTTCCACCAATATCCAGCAACTTGACTTTCCTTTTTTCTTTGATAACTCAATCAACATGTTAGGCTGCCATGTTCAGAGAAGTTTACCACTTAATATAGACAAAGTTAAAAGATCCATATTCTGAAAATCACAGGCAAACAATTACCAGAAATCTCCAAGTA